TAAGTAGGGATTCACAAACCAATCTGCCCACCATCAGAGTTGGTCAATACTCACTCTAAATAGAAGATTGGAAAACGATACTATACATTCCTAGGTTGGTGAGGAAAACAGCAAGAATGGTTGCTACCTGATCATTAAGGCTGATCAAGTCAGGTTAATCTTATTTATACAGCTTTCAACTTGCCTCTAAGGGCCTTTTTTTTATATATAAACATATGCCACATAGTCCGCACATGCCTCTGTGTGGCATTACTTGTATTTTAACCAACTTGAGTCATGACAGTAAGTTAAACTGTAACATGAATGCACAAGCAGATCAATTAACTGCCTTGTGTCTCAAAGTGTGACATAAACATATTAATTGTGTTGCTGCCCACCACCACACACAATGACAGGGAAAAAAACTTGACTATATCGACAGGATATTGGAAAATATGGTTTACACAATATTTGTTGTATTTGCGTTTGTATTTAATGTAACCTGTAGGCAAATAAAATGCGGGTAAAGTTTTTGCTAAATTCTGCTGTTTCCCAAAAGACCTAGAACCTGGTGTTGTATGAGCCCTTGTGTGGATGCAGTACAGTTAATAAACAAGCAGGAAATAATGCTCCTCATTTATCCATCATCATTATCCAATTCCAGAGCAGATCAGGCTAATGACAATGTTTCAGCTGAGTACCGAGCACTGAGACCCACACAGATCATTTGAATGGAAAATTCCAGCTGAAAAACACTCAACATACATTATCATCTTTCCAAAACACCCATGCTATCCTTACAGTCACTCTGCCCTATTACATTATCAGTTAACAAAATTCCACATATATGACAAACTTTGAACAAGCATTGGGATGTTTACCTAGTGTCACTTCCTGCTCTAGCGCTGCTAACCTACTAACAACAGTCATATACTCTATAGACCAAAGGATATTTCATAAAGCTGCTTTACTGTTGATTAAACACTCAATTTCTTAAAGTGTGATGTTAAAGTTCAGAACAGAAAATACACTCAAAACTTGTTAAAATCCCCCCCGGTGTTGTCAGTGCTCATAAAAATCAGTCTCTATTGACTGTCAAAGAAATGACGCCAACATGACACGAGTCCTCGTACCCGGCAGTTATCAGCTGTGGGAAAAATAACTTGGACTATGTAGTCCACAATAACATAAAGGGCTTGTTGTGAATCAGGCTTAATACCTTCAGTATCTTTCTGCAAGCTCGTTTAACAAACGACATTCCCACATTACATGCCAAGCTGTAGAATAAATTGACTTTTCTAATATCCTGACAAAGCAATCATAGGAAATCAGCTAATGCAACCACATGAACAATTAACCAACTGTGAGAAATGAGTCCCAGGGTGATTATGGGGTTCAAGCTCGTTTATTTTATAGATAGAATAGAATTTTAAAAAAGTAATCTATTATAAAAAGGAAAATTGTTCTTCATTGTTTACCAGCTGTACAGCTGCTTCATCTCTGTCACTATCCACTGCCTCTTATCAGCCAGCCTTTACAATTACACTGCCACCTTTATCTTGGGTGGGAGAGACACAGATTGTGTGTGCGCACACGACACAAGAAAGGAGATCAGCATGCAATAGACTTCCAAAATCTGATTACTGATATGGCAGCTAATAAAGTGAATTTTATGCACCGACCTATTTTTTTAAATGACTAAACTTCATGATAACTTCATTCAAGAATATTTAAGTTAAATATTGTCCAACATGTAACATAACTTGTAAACTAGTTCTGGTTCACATTGCTGAGAGTTGCTTCTCATCTCTTACTCTGTGCTGCTCATCACAGTATTGTAGATCGCAGAATAACCTTTGCGGTGACACTAACTTATTACCACAAGTATTATTTGCTGCACTATACTATACTATACTTCTCTGCTTAAATAAACTAACTTTATTAAATGTTGTGGATACATAGCAACACCAATTTTACAGTCAACAGGTTTTTATAACATGTTACGACTACCACACAAACAGTGAATTTATAATTATATTTCATAGTACAACATGTGCAGTATGTAACAGCCGCCACAGTTGTAGCTCTTTTAACAGTGTCTGTACCTGAAGTTTCTGTTCTTCCTGTGCTAGCAATCTCATCTGATAAAGAGCCCAAACACAGACATTGAACCAAAAGATGTGGTGAGCCTCTGCATACGTCATTCAAACTTTAACTGACAGGAAGTCAGAGTCCTGTCTTGTTTCCTCAACTAAAACCTTATTGCTCAATGTCTGCACATTCGCTTTTCATCTGTATTTCTTTATTAGCCACAGGACATTTGACGTATGCTGTAAGACAATTATAAAAGAAAACTGAGGGTTGTAGAAAGGGAACAGAAAACCTGTCACATGTAAGAATAAAGCACAAAGATTGCACACAGTGCTATGAATACTCAAACAATGCTGGGACACAAGCTCACAAGCTACAGGCTCCTGTCAGGAATTTTCCACTCCACAGTCACTCACACATACAGCATACGTATATTTACATATTCTCACTGCGTTTTGATGGTCAGGAGGTTGTCAGACACTGCTGTAACTGTATAACATTAATGGAGTGGTGGGTAATTTTAGCCTGAAAAAGAAACCTGAGCAAACATTAACACAGTATCTGAATGCAGTTAGAAATTATTATCCTCATTTATCAAAAAGGGTCATTGCAATGTCTTGACTTTGCTTTTTGCGTTTGGCTTAAAAAGAGCATCAGAACTGCTTTAATTCAACAAATACGACTGAACATAAATCAAAAATCATTTACCAACCACATCTAAAAGTCCCGACTGTACAGACAAAGGACTGACTCATAATCACCTCCAGTCTGTACTTCTGTGGTACAGTGTTTGTCTGGTGTGTTAGATTCAAGAGAGACACCTGAGCGTAAACAGTGATCAGGTTTCAGCTTCTCAATTGCCTTCCTGTAACATTCCTTGGCTCACTGTAGATGCATTAAAACACGATTTTCTAAATTATGTCTCCTCAGTTAAGAAATGCTTTGCCACGGAATTAAAATGACGGATTAAAACCAGAAAAACGTGCAAAGGGTCCATGTATGGTTATCCGAGAAAAAAAACCTCATCTTCATATCTTGAATGTGTCAAACTTCAACACGAACACAGCTGCAAATACATTCACAATCCTGAAGCTACAGTTCAAATTTTCCAGGAAATAACTCATGCAATATTTATACTAAATTAATATTTGAAATCTGCTAAAATAACTTGGTTACTAAAAAAGTCTTAGTGGAAATGAGATTCTAGTGAGTGGTTTTCTGAGGGAGGAATATGGCAGATTCTTACAATATTCAAAAGCCACCTTTTTTCAAATCAGTTTAAGTGAAATGTACTTAAAATATAACAATATAGGCAACATATTTCTGTTTGTGCACTTCAAATTAAAAAGAACTCTCTTAGCCTACAACCATATAAAGGAAGGAAAATCTGGTATGCCTTAAAGAGGAGCTAAAAGTTTAAATGACTCCGAGTACAGCTAACAAGATTAAAATGATGAGACGTGTTGTAGAGTTAAAACTATCCAACAGCATCACTCAGACTTGTAAATATACTCACAATGTACATTTATCTAGGAGGGTTAGGGCTAATGTGAAATTAGTGAGTGCATGTGAGCTCTCTTTAAGACGTTTTACGGTCTATATGCACCTTTCCGCATGTCTGCAATGCTGCAGAACTTGCTCGAGGGAATTACCCACAATTCACTGTGTCCCTAATGGTTAGGACTATGGAGAAAAGGGAAAACAAGTTTTTTAAAAACATGTTAAATCAATACAGGAAGAAGTCTGTGTGCTGTTTTAATCTGATCAAAAACCATACAGTGTAAAATAACATAATAATATAAAGTCAATTCTAGTGAGAAAGTGAGCAATAAACCACATTGTATTAAATAATTTATAGAATATATAAGACATCATATTGAGCACCATTAAGTCTGAGAGTTCAGATAAATAGGCTGAACATTGGGGCTGAGATAAAACCCTAAAACTACTGAAACAAATTTCACTATTAAATACCGCCAACACTCTGAAAGGGGCTTTTTTTCATAGAAAGACTGATTTTGCAAGTAGTTTACTAGTTCTGACAAAAAGACAGACAGAAAGGAGACCTGGGTTTATCTGAAGCCTCAAAGCGATTTCCCACATTTGCATTGTCACACCGCCCTGCCCATGTACCAAATGTGCATTGTTTAAATGGATCTGTTCAAGGGGAAGGAAGAAAGGCCCCCCCATCAGAAAACTGGTTAGGCAAATATCTTGAGGAGAGATCATGTTTACGTGTCAGAAACCACCACGGTATCTTAAAAGGCCATAACAGGTGTGACTGGTGAGAAAGCTGTGTGCAGTCACGCGAGGAAGATGAGGATTCTGGGTCACCGGTGACTCCGATGCTCCAGCTGATGGCCTTCACTTCAAGCGGTCTGCCCTTAATCATCAGAGCAGCACTTCAGTGACTCAAGAACAGGCAACCACAGCAACAGAAGTGTGTTTATGACGTAGTTCCTCCTCGTGGCACAAATGAATGCCATGAGAAAATATCCTGGTAGACACAGCTTATCGTCGCAATCAGCAAAAGCAGCTCCGATCAAAAATGAGGAAGCTCAGTTAATGAGTCTGTCTTCAAGGCAATACTAAAAGTGACTCAGAAGAGAACAGTCTGTGTATATATATA